TGTGTTGGTAGGAGAGCTGGAGAATGTGCTGGAGAAGTTGAAAACTGACATCCTGCCATTTCCAACAGCATGACTGAGCTGGAGAAAGAAATAAACACACTGAGGAGTGGCCTGAGAGCGGTGGAGACTGTAAGTATTATTTAAATCAAATATAGTCCAGCCTAGCTCCCAGCACCAGGGCATCCCTCTGCGGGGATGGAGGCGAGGGACCTCCCAGAAAAGCTGCCTTACTGTATTTCCTGGAGATCTTCTGCTCTTCCTTTCCTGTCCTGTACGTGTGCCTGTCCTCCTAGGGCTGTTGGGGCAGTATAGCTACTGTATGTTGGTTGGGCACATCATGGTTTGTATCTGACACATTAGGAGAAGCTAAGTGTAGTGCCCATGGAGCAGGACCTGTAATGTGCTGCGGTGTCTCCTTGGCTGTAAAACCTCAGAGGACAGGGGCTCAGGTTGGGCAGTTCATTTGGAGTGGTAAAGAAGTGCAGGTATCCTTAAGGACTCTCTGTCTTGCTAATTGCTGCTTTCAGCATCTTTCCCAGAGGGTTTGCTTTCAAAAGCATAGTGTGGCCATGATATCATAAAATGGGGTAATCCAAGGTCTCATGCATTGCAGGAGGGAGCAGTGATGCAGTGCAACACTGACATGGGCACACACCTGGCAGCACTGACAGAGACTGATCATGTTTGTGTCCATCATCAGTCAGGGCCTGACTAGATTTATGTTTTTGTTTTTCCCAAAGGAGCTGGACTTCCAGAAGTCTCAAGTTCAGCAAACAGGAGACAAGTTTGTGTCTGTTGTCAGCCAGTTCATCACACTAGCCAGCTTCAGCTTCTCAGATGTTGAAGATCTTCTGGCAGAAGCAAAAGAACTGGTAAGGTCATTAATGCCCTTGAGATCTGATCTGGGCAGTGTTTCATTCCCTCCTCCAGCCAGCAGAGGAGGAACAACCCTGGCCTTCCCAGAGCACGTGCCATGTGTGCTGACATCTCAAATATCTCCCAAGAGACCACACATATGTGATGTAGAGAGAGTGTCCTGCTGAGACCCTGACATGAGGAAGGCTCTGCACTGCTCCTTGTGGTTTATTCAGAGTGGGTGGGTGGATAGATAGCACATCCCTGTCTGTCCCTAGGGCTTTATTCCTGCTCCATAACCCAACGTGCCACAGGATCACAGGTCAGGCCAACAAACATGAGATGGTATACAATACCTTCAGATACCTGTTTGTTGGAAGGGCAAGGTAAGGGCTAGCCTTGGGAGAGTTGTGTCCATCAGGAGGAGATGAGATTGAAGCCAACTTCAGTGCTGCTTAGAGATGCTGCTTAAAGGGCTCAGTTTGCCCAGAGCAGTGCCTTAATGAGTGCTGTGCAGCCACCAACAGCCACTTGACTTCTTGTGTTACCGTCCTCTCTTCCCAAGAGGCTGGCTTAAGTCTGAGCAAATCAGCCATTGACTGACATCTGTGATACCCAAGCACCCTTTGCTTCCCTTCTTTCAGCAAAGGCACATACAGCTGGCTGCCATATCTTGCCAGAATTATCTTCCAGTATTTCCTCTCTGACTCGACTTTCATCTTAAATGAACTGGCAGGGAGATAGTTCAGATCAGAATCAAACACACAGAGGTCCCATCCTTATCTCATAAGCTACCTCTCCCAAGGCTGAAGTTACCAAGTGCCACCACCTCCTTTTCCCTGGTTATACCGATGTCAATCTGACAATGTCCTCCAGTCCATCCACCTGTGCTGGGGTATTACAAGTGACCAGTGTCCTCCTGAAGCCATGCCTAAACCTTTGAAACTGTCAGTACTAATCAGGCAGATCTTGCCTGCAGTGAGTACAGTCTGTGAAGACAGATGTGCCCACATCTGGAGGAGCTCTCATTGTAGTCCTCACAACCCATTAAAGCCTACTTTGAAGCAAATGCTTCCCATGGTTATTGGATAGGATAGGCTGGGGAAATGCACAAGCTCTTCAATTTTTAAGCACGTATTCAAATCATGTTACCCTTTTCTCTTAGGAAAGCAGAAACATAATTATCTTATAAACTTCATATCCTGTGGGGAGATAACATTTTTAGTCTTTTCACCCACCTGAATCTCCTGAAAGGTGGCAGAAACATCAGCATCTTAATGAAAATCAACAAGAATAACCTCAGTGTTTTCGATTGATGCAGTGGCACTTTTCAGATCCTCCCCTGCATCCTGAAATGCTAAGTCTCATAAATAAACAAAGAAATAAAAGTGCCCTAAATGTCTTTTGAAGAGGCTGAGACACCCCAGAAAATAAGACTTAATCGTATTGGCAGGCTTTAAAAACGTTCCTCTCACTCCACAGAGCAAAATCAAAGCAACTAATAAATCCTGTGGCTCCTTGGGGACCAGGATCCATCAGCAGAGACTGGGTGTCCTGTCCTGACCTTTGCCACAGCCTTATTGGATTCACTCACACTAATGGTGTGCAAATAGCACAAAAGACCAGAAAACTTCCCATTTCCCTACCCAGTGCTGTGCTTGAGCCTGGGCAGAAACATCTTTTAGAAGTCTCACCAACACATTTGGTTTCAATAGTAGAGCATGTGGCAATGATAAAGAATACCCCAAAAATACTTCAAAGAAAACTTAAAAGTGCGAGTTTCCCTTCCCCTGCCGTGTTTACTATTAGTTTTATGTCTTCAGTCTTCAGTCCCACAATATTTTGCTTCCTTGTTTTTACTACTGCTTGGTTAATGAAGTCGAGCTGGAGGCTGAGCAGAACCAGAGGTGCAAAGGGTTGGTGGGGTGTTTTGGGAGAGGGGGCTACGGGACCTCTCCTGGAAGGCTTACAGGGCAGCTAATGCTCAGAAAATCAGATGGCAGATGATTTACGTCATGTTTAAGCCAAGGCCTGGCTAGTCAAAGCCCTGCTGTTAACTCTGTTCTCTGCCACGACTGCTCCATCAGGCCTTAGGCTTTCCATTGGGGTCTCACCAGCGTGGTCTCCCCACAGCCTGACAGCCTCCTGTCTGCTGCTACAAAGTTCCACATGAATGTAGCAAAAAACTTTTTCACTTTGAGAGGGTGACAGAGTGCTTGAAGAGGCTGCCCAGATTGCTTATGGGTTGTGGAGTCTCCTCTGAAGATGTTCAAGACTCATGTGGATGCTTTCCTTTGGAACCTACTGTAGGGAACCTTCACTAGCAGGGGGTTGGACTGGATGATCTCCAGAGGTTTCTTCCAACCCCTACAATTCTGTGATTCTCTCCCAGTTTTCCAAGGCTGTGAAACACTTTGGAGAAGACACAGACAAAATGCAGCCTGATGAGTTCTTCGGCATCTTCGATCAGTTCCTTCAGGCTGTGACGGAGGCCAAGCAGGAGAACGAGAACATGAGGAGAAGGAAGGAGGAGGAGGAGCGCCGGGCGCGCATGGAGGCCCAGGTAAGAAGGCTTGGGCAGGTCTGCAGCATCTGGCTGGGGACACCTGGTGGCATGAGAAGTGTATGTAGGCCAGTTAGGGTGCTTCTGCGATTAGATCCCCGTCTTTCACTGTTGATTGCTTATTTAACTAATCGCTTAGAGGTTGGTGAGATCTTATATCTAAGATACTGATATATAACTGCATTGGAAAAGAGTTGGGCTTTGCTTTCCCAGCTCTTCTGGTGCTCTCTGGCTGCATCAGCAAATACCCTGAGGCTTCCTAGCCCTAAGGGCTGCTCACCCCACGCCCATCCTGGGGGTGACTTTCTGTGAGTGACCAACACTTCCCAGGGCTGCGGTTCTGTCAGTAACCCTGACCAGCTCTCACTTGCTCAGCGAGGGGCAGGAAGCTGCTGTTGTTCACAATTTGGGGCTATGGGTGCCTACATGACAGTGTGATGTTCCCCTCCACCAGCTGAAGGAGCAGCGGGAACGGGAGCGCAAGGCAAGAAAGGCAAAGGAGAGCGGTGAGGAAGGCGGTGAGTTTGATGACCTTGTCTCAGCCCTGCGCTCAGGTGAGGTCTTTGACAAGGACCTCTCCAAGCTGAAGCGCAACCGCAAGCGCATCGCCAACCAGCTGGCCGACAGTGGCCGTGAGCGGCCCATCACCAAGCTTAACTTCTGAGCAGTGAAACAGAAGGACAACGGCGAAAACCGAGAGTTTCAAAACCCGGTTAGTGGTCTTTTTTTGAAGTGGCTAGGATTTTATTTTTTTTTTCATTATACTGCCTTGTGATTCCAAGCGAAACAGTGGCACGTTCTTTCTCCCCACGGGTGAGCGTGTGTGTATGTGCCATGAGTGTGGCCGGGCCGGGTGGAGCTGTGTGTCCTGTGGGTGCTCGTCCCCTCCCCTCCATCCCCTTGACAAGTGGCTCTCCCAATGCACAAGCACAATGTCATGTCCATGAAGAAAGAGAGGACTTGGGCACAGTGACATGATCCACGTTGGTGACGGAGCGCTGCTCAGCATCGCTCTCCTGACCCCAGGAGCTGCGCAGGGCTGTTTGCTGGAACGCAGAAGAGTAAAGAGGAGAAAACCAAGTGGACTGAACTTGATGCGTTCTTTTCGTTGTCGTGGTTTTTCCCCGAACTTGCACTTGTGTGCTGGTCCCCGAGCTCGGTGCCACAAGCACTCCCGGCGATGCTCTTCTTCCAATTGTTTTTGGGAAATGCTCTTTTTTTCCTCTTGCCTTGCTAAGGGAAGAGTTTACCCGAGTGTGCTTCTTGCTCACGTGGCACCCAGACGTATTTATACTTTTATACTGCTTCCTGGCCCAAGGCGACGGGAAGGGTCAGTTCTCGGAGGCAACGAAGGGCATAAACTTTCATGTTGTAATTTTTATTCTCGCTTTCTGTTCAATGGGACAAACTGTATCCTCCGTAGATGTCGGTCAGGACAGAAGGTCACTCGGTGTGCAGCAGGGCCAGGGCCAAACCTGCACCCACCTTCTTGTCCGGTTTGGGTTTGTTGTTTTTTCTTTTAATGGGCACGCAGAAGCAACGACGCCACGAAGTGCTGTCTGTTAGCAATGCTTTGCTGTTCTACTACGTCCTTGCCAATTTGTAAGCAGAACTACCTGTAAAATGTCGGTCCAGAAAAAAAAAAAAAAAGAAGAAAAAAAAGAAAAAAGGAAAAAAAAGAAAAAAAAAAATAAAAAGAATTCAAAGCTCTCAGGGAGTAATAATTTAAAGGTTTAGAAAATTAAAAAAAAATTGGAGAATAAAAAGTAAACACGTTAACATTTCTATTCTTAAATTATGCTGAGTATATAGAGGACTGTTACTTTTTGCTCTTATTTATTTGTGGTATGTTTTTTAAGGAAACGAGACGAAACCTTTTGATACCACCGATACCTTTGTGATCTTTTGTTTGTTCGTTTGTTCTTTTTCCTGTGGAGAGATGAGTTTGTCCCTGTTGCACTACATACGAACACTATTTGAACTAAGGTTGGTTTTTTGTTTTTTTTTTGTTTTTTTTTTTTTTTCGGTCAGATTAATTGGTATTGCTGATGGGGTGTGGGATGTCAGTTAACGATATGTACTGTATAGCAAAAGTGCTGTTTGAACTGATTTGTATAAAGATATGGTTCTAAGCACCTGAAGGCCGCCGGGTCTGCGTGCTGTGTGAAAGCTGTGAAATATCACTCTGAACGGAGTCGTCAAGAGCTGTGGTTTTACCATTTTGTTCTTTTCTTCATTGCAACTTTGGACGCACTGTAGATTAAAAAAAAAAAAAAAAAAAAAAAAGACAAAAAAAAAAAGACTTTCCGAGTAGCATAAAGCAGGTAAGCGCCAAATGAGAGCCCAGCACCTCGTATCCAAGCAGCTGTGCGACCTGCGGGTTCTGTTCATAGGTGGAGTTGAGCACTTTGCTTTCAGAAGGAGAGGGAAATAAAGACAAAAAGGTAATGCTAATACTATTCCTTAACTAAAGTGCCTCTGTTTATATTTTTTATTTATGGCTGAAAAAAAAAAAAGAAAAGCAAACAATGGGGCTGATAAAATTGAGGGAACGGACTTCGGGGGGGGATGGGATTTAAAAAATAAAAGCAAAAAGATAAAAAAGGTCGAAAATAGAAACCTATGGCCTCTGATGGTTTAAGGAATGGTTGCTCACGTCAGATCTGCACGGTGGATGGATGGGAAGGGGCGGCTGCCTGCAGGGCCCCAGTGCCACATCAGGACAGATCCTGACAGATTCCCTCCTGCCTTCCCAGACCTGGTTTTTGTTGTTTGGTTTTATGGCAGCCTTGTGGTTGGGCTGAGTTTTTGCCATGTCTTTGTTTTTCTTTTCCCCCCACCAAAAAAGAACAGAAGATGTCTATATAAATAACTGCAAAGGCTGCGTGCAGGTAATTCCATGTGCCATTGTCGAAAACTACTTTTAGATCGGTGCTGGTGTAAGTAGCCACTCTTTTCTCTTGGGTGTGTATTTTAAAGACAGTTTGGTTTGGTTTGTTTTTTTTTAATAATGCCAAAAAAGGGGGGAAAAAAAAATCGTAACAATTTGTAAACTGAAGTATATGTCTTGGACTTTATTAGCTTCGTAGTGACCAAGGTAGTGTGTTAGGTGCAAGAATGTTATTAGTCGTAGCTAGCAGGAAATGCTGTGTAATGTCATGAGACTGTACATTTTCTAAGATGGCAACATGCAATAAAGAAAAGCGATTCCGGTGAGTGTGCAGCACGGAGCCACGAGTCATTGTGCAAAGCAGCACACACAGCAGCCACTGCTGGCGGGAGGAAAATGGGATATTTGGGATTTGGGGGCTAAACGGGCACCTTTCTGCCTTGTGCTGAGACGTACAGCATCCTCTAGGCTTGGAGCAGTCAGAAATGGGACACTTTAATTTCCTCTGATGCAGTGGAAGAGGGATAATTTTAATTCTATCCATCATCATAGAATCAAACAGCCACGAGCAGTGATGTATTCTGTGCATGGCTGTGTTGGGGATCCAGAGAAATGCAACCTGGTTACTCCAGTGCTTTTCCTCCAGTGTTGTGTCACTGAGTCAGCTAAGCAAATTCCACCTGGGTGTTCAGGAATGGCTGGTGAAGGATTGAAGAGAAATCTATTGAGTGCTTTTGTGCCCATCACACTGAGGGGTTTTAACCTGTAGAACTGAGCTGAGGATTCTGCTTCTCATAGCCCTGTGTACAGGAGCAGTGATGGGACATGGTTAGAGGGCATGGGTGATGGGTTGATAGTTAGACTTGATGGATATTTAGTGGTCTTTCCCAACCTTTATGATTCTATGACTCTCACCCTGCTGCCTTAACCAAGGCTTGCTTCAGCCCTTCTAAGAAACAGGAATATGCCCACAGTGCTGGACATCCCCCCTCCTGGTCTGCACTCAGCAAGCTGAGCATCGTCTCCCCAAATCACACTTTGTCACAGCACTGTCTGGGTGCACCTGGCTGCAGCTCCCTGCTTTCCCATGGTTTATAAAAGCAACAGGATCATAAAATTCAGCGTCCTCAGTATTTGGAAGTCACTCCCCAATGTTTTGTGGGTTTCTGCCAATGTCTGGAGGAATCCAGTGCCAGGCAGAGCTCTTGATCTCATGATCTCATGAGCAGAAGCTTTTCGCTGCTTGTTAGCAGAAGGGCTGTGCTAGCTGCTCAGATCTCTGCTGGCATCTGCTGGAGCCACACACTAACACCAGTGTGAAAGTGGAGACGTCGGATCTTGCACCCGTTCTGCTGATCGTTGTCAACTATTGCATCCCATCAGGCTGCCACTTAGAAACGAATCATTTGTAGTTTGTAAATTGTACAGAAGCAGTCACTTTGAACCAAGCCTTCACCTGGGTATTAGGGAGGGATGAGTGTAATGACTTAAATGAATGTGATATAGCAAAACTGCCAGACTCTATCTGGAACAATACCTTTAGAAACACTCCTCGCTCCTGAAGACTTAATGCTTCCCTTCTAAGAAATAACTCATAAGCTGTATCAGCAGCTCGTATAGCATTGCCAAATAGCATGGCTCTCTTAGAGCATAACCATGCAGGAACTGCACATGGCCAAATCCCTTTGCTACAGCCCAGCAAAGGGAGATCAGAGCGTGGCTGAGAGCTTCCACTGCACCGCTGCTGAGAGGCAGTGACCCACAGCCCAGCTGGGAGCCAGTGGCACGCTCTGGAAGGCAGCCTGCAAGCTTGGCGTGTGCCTTCTGTGTTCCTCTTGCTCTCTGCTGTTTGTGGTTTAAGACACTTCGCCCTTTATTTGTGTTTTGTAAAGCACGCTTTGAAAAAGGGGGCAGTTAGAGGCATGTAGTTGAGTGGCTGGCACAGAGCAGGTCCTGCTCTAGCAAAGCTGCAGCAGGTTCACTGCAGAAAAGGTCTGGTCAAGAATCTTCCCTTGCTGCATGCCAAGTTAGTGTTTAACAGAAGAGAGCTGTTTGGGAAGCTCAAAGAGCACAGCCAGCTGCCTCCATTCAGCTCTGTGCATTCTTAATGCTCAGCCACTTGCAAGTACTTGTTAAAAACAAGTGGAGATCGGTGCTGGAAGAGGCTGGGGAGGTGGCTGGGATCACCTTTTGCAGGGCTTTTACCAGTGAGATCAGTGCAGCTGGAACACTGAATGACACCTAAGGTTGATGACTATGGAGTTGGGACAGATTTCCTGATAGCCTTTAAGGGTCCCTTCCAGCTCAAACAATTATATGATTCTATCCGCAGGTCACATCTTTTCCTTCAGGACTTCAGGAGCATCACAGAATTACAGTAATTTTTACAGTATGAAAAATGGCTGCATTCAAATTTCACAGTCAGGTCACTCTTCATAGAATGACAGACTGATAGCATCATTAAGGCTGGGAAAGGCTGCTACAATCATCTTGTCCAACCACTGACTTCACAACTTCACAATGTTCAGGTCTCTGTGACCATTCCATGGCAATTTTTTTTTACAGAAGTTCTCAAGGCTGTGCTGAGAATAACGCCAGGCTGAGACGCTGTCATCTCCTGCATAAAAGATAATTTATTTCTTGTCTCACTGCAGAATAATGACGGTACGTTCACTTGAGTCACAATCAGGTGAAAAAGCCGTAGAACAGTAGCACTATATTTCTGAAGACCATACAAGAAAAATACTGCCTGCCTCTCACATTTAATTGAAGACAATCTCTGAGTTTGAATACTGATTAAGGCGTTAGGACTCTGAGCCTGTGGGCAAAAATATCACACGGATAAACTCATATGAATTTGCACTTTGCAACAGCACTTCCATTTCCTGCGTTGTGAAGGTGTTACCTTCATTTTATCCAGTGGCAAACAAAGAGCTAGTTTTTGAATATCACATTCAGTAACAGATTCTTGCCACAGATACAGTGCTATCTGTTCTATGCATATGCACATCTTCACATGCTTAAGCACAGCAAGCACACATGGCACTGCTGTGCCTCTCCTTTCAGACACTCACCACTCCTGCATGGCTCCTCTAAGCACAGTTAAATCATTGGAGAAGTGAGACACATCTGCCGAGCTCAGAGTACACCTTGTGCCCATGTAATACAATACACCCACTCCTTTTCCTCTGCCTGCAGAGCTCTCAGTTTCCCACACTCACAGTATTTTATACTGACTGTACCCATAAATAAAAGGCTGCTGAAATTCTGACATATTTCATCTTCCTTTCCCTCCCTCCCAGCACCACACATCTTCCTTCTTCGCAGGCATCTGTCACAACAATCACTGCTTTGTTTCGCTTAGAAATTTAAATAATCACCTTCACAAATCACTTTTTAGCCTGTCCCAAACCCTACGACATTCTGCACTGCCACATACAATGGGTTAAAGCAACATTTTCCTGCCGTGATGCAGTTTTCACAGTGTGGTGTTCCCTCAGCGTGCTCCAGCTGCCAGTGCTCAGCTCTCGCTGGCTATATGTTGGCACTGAGCAAACAGCTCACACAGTTTCAGGCTGTGTGTTTGCCCCGCAGCTCCTGTTGGGTGATTTCTGCAGGACTGGAGCAATCTCTCACGCAGTCAAACTCTTGATGCTCAGCGGCCGTCACCACTGCACCAAGCCTGATGGAAGGGGCACATCCTTTCCCTGGCACCTCTCTCTGCTCGCAGAGCAGACTGCCGAATCAGAGCTTGCATGATGGAGAAGAAATCACACTATGGCTCATGCAGGCCCATCTCCCTGATTTCCAAGAGATCCGCGGCTACCGCCAGTTCCTCAGGGAGACGGCCCCAGGGCCCGATGCTTCCATCCCGGCCCTCAACCCCATCAGAGGCTGGTGTTGACGGTGTCAACTCTGCCCTGCAAAGCGGCCTCGGAGACGGCGTCAGGCTGCCCATCCCGACAGAAGAGCACGGCCGGGTTCTTGCAGGCCCACATGGCCACCTCTCCTCCATTCGCCGGGCTGGATGAGGACGGGGCGCTCCCCGGGGGCCCGCCGTGCCGGTTGACGTAGCGCTCCCGCACGCGCTCGGCACGACTGCGGGGCTCCGGCCGGCGGCCTGGGGCCGAGAGGTAGGCGGCCACGTTGTTCCTAGTCCTGTAGCCGCCCTCGCGGCTGCGTCGCAGCAGCACGGAGATGTTGGGGTTGCGGGCGGCGTAGATGAGCGGGTTGATGGCCCCGTTGGCCCAGGCCATTCCGCTGGCCACCGCGTCCATGGTGGGCGAGAAGGGCAGGCGGCCGGCGGCGGCTGCCAGCCCCAGGATGCAGTAAGGCCCCCAGCAGCAGATGATGGAGACGATCATGATGAGGACGGTGGTGGCCGTGCGCATCTCGCCGTAGGCACGCAGCAGGTTCCCGTAGGTGGCCAGGGGCCTCACGCGGCTCTCGGCCAGCCGCACCGCCCGGCAGATGTTGTAGTGGCAGAAGCACATGAGGGCGAAGGGCAGGAGGTAGCAGAGCACGATGAGCGCCGCGCCGTACGGCGGGCCCAGGCGCGACGAGCCCCACGGCAGCACGTAGACGCAGCGGTACGCGCCGTGCCGCGCCTCCCGCCGCCCTTCGCCCGCCAGCCCGTACCACGGCCCGGCCAGGCCCAGCGCCGCCAGCCAGACGGCGGCCAGCAGCTGCGCGGCGCGGCGGCGGCCCATCTTGTGGCGGGGCTGGCGGACGATGGCGCAGTAGCGGTCGAAGGAGAGCAGGGCCATGGTGAGGGTGGCGGCGATGCCCAGCCCGGCGTGCAGCGCGGCGCTGGCCAGGCACAGGCGATGGCCGAAGAGCCACGCGCCGGGCGGGCGGCCCAGCAGGCTGACGAAGGCGAGGGGCAGGCAGAGCAGCGCGCCCAGCAGCTCCGACAGCGACAGCGACAGCACGAAGGCGTTGGTGACCGTGCGGAGCTGCCGGTGCCGGGCGATCACCAGCACCACCGCGCCGTTGCCCAGCGCCGACAGCGCGAAGATGAGCAGCAGAGCCAGCGCCTGCGAAGCCAGAGCCGCCGCCGACCAGCCCGGCCCCGCCGCCGTCGCTGCCGCGCCGCTCTCGTTGCCGCCGCCGCCGCCGCCGCCGGAGAGGTTTCCCGGCACGGCCGCCGCCGGCTCCATGCGCAGCCCCACCGCCCGGCCCGCGCCGCGCCCGCCCCGCGCTGCCGCCGCTGACGTCGCCCCGCCGCCGTCGCCCAGGGAACCGCCCCGCCGCCCCCACCGCCGCACGGGGCGGGAACAGCCGCGGCGCGCTGCCCCTCGGCGCCTGGCGCCTCTGCGCGGGGTCCGCTCTGGCCGCGTGTCGCCTTTCTGCTCGCGGAGGTTCTGTCGCGACCGCTCCTCCCTCACAGCCCCGTTCTCCTCACAGACCCCGTCCCCTCGCAGATCCTCACGGCTCTTTCCTTGCATCACCTCTCTCCTGCACCAGAACAGCCTCCTTCCCCCGTCCCCTCACATCCTCACCACCTCGTGCCCCACCTCACCGACCCTTACTGTGAAAGAGCTTTCCCTTAAACCCAGTCTAAATCACCCCTTTGTAGTGGGAAGCCATTTCCCCTCGTCCTGTCACAGAAGACGCCGTCAAACTGGCTGATTCTTCAGGAACCTCTGCGCCTCCCCCATTGCTCCCTGCAGGAACCACCCCGAGAAAAGCGTTCTCAAAACACTCTCACAAGGCAAATTCCACGAGTGCCCCCAATAACCGAACGCCGTTTTGTCCAGAGGCACAGGGGAAACCACAGGCCCTGAGCTCCGCGCTGCTGCTTGAGCAGAATCACAAGTAAATGTGTTTGCAATCAAAGGTCAGAGTGGTTCCAACCTTCCAGTTCGGTTAGTGCTGCTGGAAGTTAACCCAAAGTTAGCCCACGGTCTGAGAGGAGCAAGAGGAGGGTTTGGGTGAAAACAAGAGGACAGCAGTGTTTTCAGCTGGCATTTAATAGGAATCAGAACAATCTGAAAATGTAAATAAGGCACAGAAATTTGAAGACAGATCTCCTAAGCGAGCTCCCAGCAAGCACTGCAGAGGAGCACCTGTCATCCTGAAGCACAGCAGTAGCTGTTATGGCAGCAGCCAAGGTCGGTCCTGCTGCTCTGCACACTGTGCCGGGCCACGGGGAGAAGCAGAGCAGTGCATGGGCAGGAGAAGCATCAGTGAGTGACACAGTGCAGTGCCTCGGGTCACTTGAAGGAGAAGCCGTGCTTCAGCGGGTCCTCCTCTTCCACAGTGAAGGTGGCCGTGCCGGTGTAAAAGGCTTCCCCTGACACTTCCACCACAACGGCGTTGTAGTCCCCGAATCTGGCTTCCTGCAGAGGGGTTTGGATCAGGACAGAGCTGATGGGACATTCTCCACCCCCAGCCGCAATAAGCGATGCATGAGGCTTGTGGGAAAGCAAGAACACTTCCCCAGCACTCCTCAACAGCTCCACTTGCCTTCACTGCCTTCCCTGTGAACAAGGACCCTGTGGTGCTGCTCCGAAAGGTTCTGCTCTGGTTCAGCTGGATGAGTCCCTTATGGTACTGCAGGGCAATGCGAGCTGTCACGCCAGAGCCTGTTGGACTTCGGTCCACCTACAGTCAGAAGAGAACACGAGCCAGCATGTATTCTGGTTTTAAACAGAAATGAATATTACTCCCCTGTATTCTCCCTGTGTGGGAGAAGTGCCCCTAGCCCACAGGTTTGGACAGCATCAGGATACATCCCAAATGGAAAGATAAAGTAGAATCATGGAATTATTTCGGTTGGAAAAGACCTGTAAGATCAAGCCCAGCGTATAAGCAGGTTTGAGGTATGAAAGGAAAAAGGTGGTCCGGCTCCTGTGTGGAGCCAGGGCTTGGACTCAGTGCTCCTTATGGGTCCCCTCCAACTCAGGCCATTGGGTGATTCCAGGATTTCAGAACAGCCCATTCTATACCTGTTCATCTGCAAACACACAGATGTTGGTGGTGGGCTCCTCGCTGAAGGCATCCTTCCCATCTGTCAGAATGGTGCCATAGATGAAAGCCAGGTCTTCGCTCTCAGGGTGATGCAGCTTGAACTGGGAGGGCACACCAAGGGTTCGGGACAGGCTCAGCACTTGGGCCACCAGCAGCAACCGCAGTACGTTCAGCATGGGGATCTGAGTGCTGTGGGTGATAAAGGGCCTCCGTCGCCATCGCCCTGAAGGGAAGGCATGGGGCCATACCTGCTCCTTCACTGCCTCCGTCACCGCGCTGGCTGCGCTAACGAGGTCTCTGGTCTTTGAGGAGCACACGTCGAGGCCCAGCTGCTCCGCGCTGAGAAAGGCATAGAAAGTGCCACCGTAGCTGATGTCAACCACCACCCTGCCGCGACCTGGGACATCGATGGCCACGTCTGAGTGGGGAAGCAGAGGGCGGTGAGGATGGATCACAGTACGGAGCTGACAGAAGCCACGAGCTCCACAAGCACTCCCATACCCCAGCACCCGACGCTTCATGCCATATCCTTCTCCTGAGAGATACGGGAGCTGGGGAGAGCTCTGCCCAGCACCCGGCGCACCCCCCCAGCCCCACAGAACGCGCTACCAGCAGCTCGGGCCCCACCGGTGGCAGCGGCGAAGGCGGGCACGCTGTGGAAGCGGACGGGGTTACCGCTGTGACAGCCATCCCAGGGCACGAAGGCGGTGACGGGGCCGCAGGGGCAGCGCAGGCGCACGGCGGTCTCTGGGCGCTGCGGGGCTGCCACCAACCCGAAGTCGAGGGCGAAGCGGCCGAGGGCCAGCACGGCGTGGCCGCACATGGCGCTGTAGCCGGAGCCGTGCAGGAAGAGCACCGCCAGGTCGGCTCCGTCGGCGGCCGCCCCGCCGCGCACCACCACGGCCCCGTACATGCCGCCGTGGCCCCGCGGCTCGTGCATCAGCGCCCGCCGCACGTGGTCCTGCGTGGCCGCCATGTGCCGCCGCAGCGCCAGCAGCGACAGCCCGGCTGCCGCCGCTTCTTCCATCGCCTCCAACCGCGGGATGACGCGCAGCGGTTCGCCGCCCGTGTGCATCTCCACGGTGTGCAGCGCCGGCTCTGTGAGCGAGCGGGGCGGCAGCCGCCGGCCCTCGCCGTCGCCGTCACCGCAACCAGCCGCCGCGGCCGCCGCCATCTCCCGCGTCCTGGCAGGGCGGGGACAGCGCGGGACGCGCGCCTGCAGGCCGCGCCCACCGGGAGGAGCGCCCCGCCCCCTGCGGGTAGCCGCGCCCGTGGACTCCAAGCCCCGCCCACCGTGTGAGGCCCCGCCCACCAGGCGGAGCGTACCGCCCAATGGCGGTGAGGTTTGTCCGGAAGCGGAAGTGAAATAAGCGGAAGCGGCTCGCTGGGGCTGTGTTGCCTGGATACCGGGATGATCCGCTCCGGTAGGCCGCGGGATCGGGATCGGGATCGGGGTCGGGGTCGGGGTCGGGGTCGGGGTCGGGCATGGCGGTGAGGTCGGGCCGGAGTGCCGCGGTAACGGGGCTGCTCTCTCCCCGCAGCTGTTGACATCCAGCCCGCCTGCCTGGGGCTGTACTGCGGCAGGGTCGTCTTGGCCGTCAACGGCTCCCTGGAGGTCTACGGGGACTGCGGGGTGAGTCCTGCGGGGCGGCTGGCCCCGCGCAGGCCGTGCTCTCATCCCGTGTTTTGTGCATCCGGAAGTGAGGGATGGGGAGAGCACAGCGAGAGCCAGCTGATGGATTGCTGGGGTTGCTGTCTTATCTCTTTAAAAATATGGTAAACTTGCCGTCCTGTTAATATTAAAGCTTTGTGTTTTTTTCCTTATATACAGCCCAAATCTCATTTCTTCTGATTTAAAACCATTTCCCCTTGTCCTAGCACAGCAGGCTCTGTGCCCTTCTTTCTTACCTCCTCCCTTTAGATACTGAAGGGCCGCTATTGGGACTCCCTGGAGCCTTCTCTTCTCCAGGCTGAACAGCCCGAATGGTTTGCGAAGGGTTCCTAGTGGAACACAGCAGCTCTCTCAATCCATCACGTGCTTTCTGTAGGTGTGCCCCAGAGGCCAACGAACTGACGACAACAAAATCTGCCGGGAGTGCGTGGGATCCCCGGACCGCTATGACTGGCTGTACCTGGGCTTCATGGCCATGCTGCCCCTCGTTCTGCACTGGTTCTTTATTGAGTGGTATTCGGGCAAAAAGAGGTCAGTGTACCCTTCCTTCAGTTATGTTCCTTCAAAAGAAAATGTTGTAACCATGAGCATGATGGACTGAGCAGTCCTGCAGAGCACCTGCTGGTTGAGCCGATGCAGTAGCGCAGGGCAGTTGGATGGGGTTTTTATTTCTGAGAGAGACCTGGGTCCTCCTTGCCTGTATCAGCTTTCAGATGCGCTGTTATCACTCCTGCTTTCTGTGAAATGGCAGCAATGTGAGCACTGTTAGTCCTCCTCTGATGGGGTGTTTGTGCCTGTGCTGTATTTACTTGTGAGCGTCTCAGGGCTCAGCACAAAGAAGTTGTGCTGTTCCAGCAGGAAGTAGTTCAGCTTTATGAAGTACTGGATGCAATGAGGAAAGCAGTGATTTATTTTGACCATAGATATTTGCTTTTTATGCTTCCAATTGGAAGCAACTGCCTGTGCATTCCTGGAAGGCAACTCTAGCTTGCAGCATTCCTGCATCAGATTGCATACCTAAGAGAATGCTTCTTGTGATGGTTTGATACTATTTTCACAGAATCACAGAATCGTAGGGGGTTGGAAGGGACCTCCAGAGATCATCGAGTCCAACCCCCCCTGCCAAAGCAGGTTCCCTATACCAGGTTGCACAAGTAGGTGTCCAGGCAGGTCTTGAGTATCTCCAGAGAAGGAGACTCCACAACTTCCCCAGGCAGCCTGTTCCAGTGTTCCGTTTTATTCTGCCCACATTAAAACAAGCGTTCATTCTAGAAGCTGGAGTGATTTCCAGTTATTTTACATACTAAGGCATCCAAGATAAGGAAAATGGATTTTCTCATTCAGCTTAAAATACTTAATATTTTTAAATTATTTATTTATACAGCTTTGTCCTATCCTTGGTCACAGAATCATAACTGCAGAAGGTTTTGTCCTCTTTGGACTTATGCTTCACAGTAGCATTTAGATTTACTTTAGTGGTCACACAGCAGTAGTAAATGTCTTCCTCTTCTGCAGTTCCAGTGCACTGTTGCAGCATATCACTGCCTTGTTTGAGTGCAGCATTGCAGCAATTGTTACTCTGCTAGTGAGTGATCCCGCTGGCTCTCTGCACATCCGTTCCTGCAAGGTGAAGAAGCTTTCAGACTGGTATACGATGCTCTACAACCCAAGTCCTGATTACATCACTACAGTGCACTGCACTCATGAAGCAGTCTATCCCCTGTGAGTATAAATGCTTCTGTACTCAGAGCTGTTACTTCCTTCTGTACGTTTGTTTCTGTCAGTGCCTCTTCTCAAAGCTGTAGGACATGTTCCTTTATACCTAGCTTGGACCCATGGGTATCAAATCCCCTCAAGTCTTTTCATGTTCTGAGCTGTTCTTTGTGTCAAACACGTAACACCTAATGACTTTTTCTGAATTGGTGAGGATACAGTCTCTGTTCCTGTTTTTTCCTCTTGCTGCATCCTCAGCATGCAGTGGGGAAACTTGACAGAGAAGTATTCCAGAGAGCAGTTTGTGATCAGCTTCCTTCTTGACACCTAAGAATCACAGAATTTTAGGGGTTGGAAGGGACCTCCAGAGATCATTGAGTCCAGCCTCCCTGCGAAGCAGGACAGAATCACTAAGAAGGTGGCATATTCTAGGATATTCCTTTATAAAGCATGTAAGACTTCCTTTTTTATTCTCATTTGCTGAATCTTGACTATTTTCTGTAGGAAAAAACTCTATTGTTCTGTGTCTCTATATCCCTCTCCTGACAACTGTACATTACAGCTGACACCAAACCTCCTTGTTCTCAGCTGAGTCTGCAGCACAAGCAAGACTGCATATTTTAAGGAATTTCTCTCTTATTTGCAGGTACACGATTGTGTTTATATATTATGCCTTCTGCCTGGTGCTAATGATGCTTCTTCGACCTTTTCTGGTTAAAAAAATTGCCTGTGGATTAGGAAAAGCTGATCGATTTAAAAGTATTTATGCGGCACTTTACTTCTTCCCAGTCCTCACCGTGCTCCAGGCAGTTGGAGGAGGCCTGCTCTGTGAGTTCTCTCCTATTAACACTAAGAAACCTACCAATAAGCACACTAACATGATGCATGGCAGAGAGGGGAGGAACATGATACTTTTTGCTTCACAAATGAGGATATTGCTTAAGGTTTTTGTTGTTTATGAGAACTGTCACATGAATGAGTTGTCCCAGAAATGGTTTGCCTTCTGCCTGTGCTGCTAGAGACTGTCCCTTTATCAAAACAGACATAGAGTGGGGTGCAAGAGGAAGTTAATTCGGAGTGAGGGCACAGCTGATTTCATAATTGGATTTAAGTGTAAGTAAGTTTGTGGTGCTCAGCTCCACACTGGTTTAGCTCCAAGCACACTTCTCACAAGGAGGGGATGGCGTAACAAAATCCCCGCTTAGCCTGACTGCTTTTCTCTTTACCTTCCTTTCCCAGTTAGTGATTTATGTGTACAGTAATTTCACCTAGAAATCTTAGTGTCTTCTGCATTTGACAAAAGTAAAATTTGAAAACCTTGGGTGCAAGCACCGAATAGTTGTGCATGGCTGATCTCTTTGCTGTAGGTGTTGGAGGTGATGGTAGTAGGTGAGCACCCTTGGTAATGTGGAAGAATCTCTGCTGAAAAGTATAACATTGCATTTTTTCCTACTAACTGGTTACTGCTTGCCTTTAGATTATGCCTTTCCATACATCATACTGGTGTTGTCTCTGGTTACGTTGGCTGTGTACTTGTCTGCTTCTGAAGTGGAGGTAGGTAAATTTGTTTGCTATATTGAAACTCATCATAAAATGCTTGAAGGAATTAAGGACTACTGCCTCTTGGATTTTCTCAGCAGTGTGTTTATAAGCTTCTTCCTTTGACTTCTCTTAGCTGGAAGAGGTTACTATGAGAGTTCCCTCTTGTGGTGTACTGAGAAACTGCTATGTGCTGGAAGGCCTTAAATCCAGAAGGCCTCATGCAGTGTCTCTGTGTATGACCTGTGATGTATCTTAAATATCAGGTACAACATGCTAACAGAATATTGTCTATATTTTGCCAGTCTTTCAAGGATCTTCTTGTCAGGAAGAAAAGGCTTGTTGTCCTCTTCAGCCACTGGTTGCTTCATGCCTATGGAATCATCTCCATTCCCAAACTGGACAAGCTTGAGCAGGATCTCCCATTGCTTGCCTTGGTACCTGCACCTGCCATCTTCTACTTGATGACAGCAAAGTACACTGAGCCATCACGCATACTCTCAGAAGGTGGAAATGGACATTAAAGGACGTTAAAAGGGTTTTGTGCCAACAGTGCTGTCCAAATGATCTGGATTAAACAGGTTGAGTGCTTGTTATGCATTTGAAAGCTTCTGTTTTAAAAGAAGTTATCTGTGTACAGGGTTTACAGGTGAGACATTTTTGAATAAGACTGTAGTATTAAAAACCTTTGCTTCTGTGAAGAAGACAGTATCTAGTATAGATTAAGGAAATCGTCTGTATTTATCATTGTGAATCTGCATAAAAGCTTCAGACGCTTTCTTGTACAGGATTTTGCTTGTATTTGTTTATTTACTAATATAATATTTTAGGCAGTGTTTGAAGAAAACAAGACAGCCTTCGGAATAAAATTTCAGTGAGGAGGGCTTGAATAAAACATAGCATTGGTTTTCTCATCCCACATCCTGGCTTCTGTCTTCCAAAAAATATCTTGAGTATTTCCTCATTTATTCTTCACTGCATCTGATTCTAGGAGAAAGGAGAGAAAGTGCATTGTAAGTTTCTGGAGTTTGTTCTGTATACTGCTACAAAGAAAATGCCATTTGCAGACACATGAATGCAGAGTTCTAAAAGTATGGTCTTAAACCCCATGTGTTAAAATCTTCATTGGTAGATTTTTCTTTACAGTATCCAAATACAGGTTTGTGTCTGTATTTGCATGTTTGTTTGCCTCATCAGTATACTCTCTGTAGGAAAGTGAGCAGCAACAGGTAGGAAAAGGCTTTTGCAGAGGTGCAGTACTGAGAACTGTATGTGCTTATGTGCATTTATTTCCATGTATGGATTTCGTGTGTTACGAAAAACCTGCTCTGCATGTTCTGCCCAGGCAGCAGTACTGACATTGGCCTTCAGATGAAGCAGGGAGCTCTTCTGCTATACACCATCCTTCCCTCCTCTGCCTGGCTTCCTCCTTGGGACATTCCCGTCCTCTGTTAATTCCCTCTTCCTGGCATGTAACCCAGACCCAACAATTTCAAAGCAGCCTCAATAGCACAGCCTTTATCAGCTCCACAACACAATTAGAAACCACTTTCTGTAACAAGGCAGTAGTCATACAGTGACCAAACCTGTGACTCATTACAAACAAGGTCCCTGTGAACCAAGAAGGAAAGCAGAAATCTATAGGCTTAGAGCTAAAAAGAGGAACTGAAGCAAGCTAATGCCTCAGTTTACTAACAGTTGTATGACAAGTCTTTCAAAAATGGAAATTAAAGATGATAATGGCACCCAGGCTACTATTAATTCTAATATCTGGGCCCAGTTCTTTAAAAAATGCACCAGCTTTACCACAAAGCTTACATCTGCAGTAGGGTGACTTAACACAGCTGTACTACCTGTGCTTTATCACAGACTGCCAAGAACAAATTGAACAGAACTCCTCTAGGACTGAAAAAACAAAGTGAAAAAGTTTTGGTGTATCTTACCATCATCATCCATTCTAGATTTTTTTTCAAGCAGAGAATCCATTCCTTCCAGACTATTTTGTAGCCTGCTGTTAATGTCACCAATCTTTTCCTCTCTATGCTGGATTTTTCTTAGTAGGGCTGTCACTGCATTCAGAATTTCCTGCTCATTCTCCAGAAATTCCTGCAATGACATGGGATAGAATGTTTATTTCCCTCAAAATTATACTGAGAAAGCTTTTTTCATCTTCTTTTCCCATAGCTTGACCAACTGCCCAACTAATAGCTCTGCAGGAAGTTTTCCACTGATGACCCAATCCTTGCATTAAAAACAGGAAGGTCTCCCTGTTCTGGTGGAATATTTTGTAAAAACTTCCTTACAGTTTGGTTTAATTCCTGTTGAAAACAAAAGACATTCCCAACTGGAAAAATATTCCAAGGTTGATGATCTGAATGAATAATGCTAAGAATATTAGCAGATAAAGAGAGATTGAGAGGCTTAAGGTTGAACACAGAATGAGCAAAAGGATAAATACCAGGAAAAAAATACATATCACTGGAAAACACAGGTTTAATACTGTGCCCCTCTATGAAATAAAAAAGCCAGTACCATATTTGTAATATGAAATGTTATTTTTCATCATAAGTGAAATATTTATGCAAAACTCTATGATACAAAATTGAACTTCACCTTCTGAAGAGAGCTGTCCTCTGACCATCTCTCCAGCAGAAAACCTGCAACAGAGTTAACAGTTAAGTTATGGTAGGTTGTTCTGTGAAGAAGATACAAAGGCTGAAATACCAAACTTTTTGTTTGGAAGCTGTAATTAAGATTACCATGAAGCACTGCCAGGTCATGCCCAATTTTCACTATTGCTGACTGGTGGCCTTCTGCTTCAGAATTCATTGCCAGGATATCTTCTTTCATCTGTGCATTGCACTTCAAGAGAAAAATAAATATGACCGAATACTTGCCACAGTTTGTAACTTTCCTAAATAAATTTCAAGCAGTTTCAATGTTTCTAAAGATATCAGCAAGAAGAATCATAGAATCACAAAATGGTTTGGGTTGGAAGGGACCTTTAAGACCATTCAGTTCCAACCTCCTGCTGTAGGCAGGGACACCTCCCTCTAGGCCAGGTTGCTCACAGCCCCATCCATCCTGGCCCCCCCTCCTTTCAGGGAAGGGGCATCCACAGCCTCACTGGGCCACCTGTTTCAGTTCCTCACCACCCTCAAAGTAAAGAATTTCTTCCTAACATCTAGAAGAAGCTGAGTTTTGACTTGCAGGTACACAAAGGTTAATTGTAGCCCTCTGGATGAGCTTTCTTTTGACAACAGCATCCATTTCATCCTGCTAAACAAAGTTTAACAGTTGCCAAAATCAACACAGTACGACTACATCCATGGTACAGAGTAGAACGGGGTGGGGCACTGAGATCAGCCACAAGAGCACATCCAAACAGAATCTTCCTTCCTCTCTTCCTCAAAATAGGATCATAGGATTATAGAATGGCTTAGGTTGGAAGGGACCTTAAAGATCATTGAGTTCCAACTTCCTGCAGGCAAGGGAAGCTTTTGTGTGTCCACAAGGATAAAATGCCCACGAGGAGCTGCAGGGTAGCTAATATCTAGCATCCACAATGTCAGCAGGCACACGTTCCCTACCTGCAGCAGTGGAGCACTCTGCTTGAAGGCACCAGCAGTGCACAGAAGCTGCGTGCACACAACTGCACAGATGTGGTCTGGATGGCAGCCTGAAAGCAGCTGGCAATAATAACACTTTTTGGGGAAGGAGGCTGCACTATTCTGATAGCCCAGGTCTGGAAAGGTATACAGAGAATGCCCAAAAGCACATATTCCAAACAGCACAGGCATACTTGACATCTCACTTCAGCCCCTGTCAGATGGCAGGAAGGCTTTTTGCCACAGTCCCTCACTAAATGCAGCAGGTATGTGACAAAATGCCTTAGGGAAATGCACAGCACTTGAGATATTCCTCTTTGTTTCCCTCTAAAGAAAACACAGATTCACACATCCCTTTAAAAGACAAAATCTGCCCCGTGGTGTGGTGTTTGTGTTTCAGCATTTCCATGGCTAACTCCCTCAGAAATCAGAAATGAACAGATAACTTCTGATTGAGAAGCATTATTAATCTTCAGTATACTCACTAATTTGAATCTGCAGTTCTCGGTGTTCACAATGTCAAGTTTTCTGTTGATCTCATAGATGTCTCTTTCTAGCAACTTCATACTCTCAGTTTGATGTTTCAGCTGGCTGACTGCAGCATCACGCTTGATGCACAATTGCTTCCGTAGCTCCAGCTGTAAACAACAAACTCTTCACTGTTAGCTGACCTTTATACAGGAGTTTTGTACTCAAAGTGTAAAAAAAAAATGAAAGAATAAAGTGAAAAGAGATTTTTACAACATGGCACCTTTTGTCCAATAATTGCAAAGTAACGTCTGAGACAGGTATCTATACTCTCTTACCAGGAAAGAGGCAGAAATACAGAGAGGGATGCTCATGGTCCACAAGGAAGGAACCAGTTCAGACACAAAAGTGGCCTTTTCTCTGTAGGGCCACCCAACGACAGAGATGTCACATTATTGTCACTGGATATTACAGTGTGCACAGCTGTTGGTTTCTGTGTTGAAGTGGAAGAGTCACCAGAGAGATTTTCCCACTTACAGAACACTGCCCTAGCAGTAGCAAGCATCTGAATAAGAGCAGGTTCACAATGGCCTTAGCTCACCAGCCTCTTTTTGGCCTGCCCATGTGCCTAGGCAATACAAAAATAAGGCTTAAAGGCAACTCAACATGAGCTGGGCCATAAGCTGAGCAAAGATCTGAGGCACCCAGCAGACAGAAACACAGCAGCAGAGATGATGGCACACCCTGAGCCCCAGCCTGTCTTCCCCAATCCCAGCCTCACAGTGCCTTTGAGAAAGTAGAGCTGGTGATGGAAATGTTACAGAAGTAGTGTGATTAAGTTTTAAACTTTTACAATTTCCTCCTTGAGCATCCCAGTGGTCTTGATTGATTTCTGAATGGCTCTTTGGATTCGTAACTCTTCATCTTTCTTTTCTACAAAGCAGAAAAAGGATTTTTAAGGCAGTGCAATGAACTTTAAGTAAAGCTACTGTAAAGAAAACTAAGTTCTGTCAGTAAGTGAGCTGTTTAACTGGCCTGGCATTTAAAAATACTCCATGTTTATGCTATAGCTATGTCTGTGGATTCTAGTTGTTGCAAAGAGCTCAGTTTAAACTTGTTTCATAGTTCACCTGAACTAGAGGCAGACAAAGGGCTATAGCATACTGTTCTCAGAAATAGCAAGAAGTCCTACTATGTCAAGGAGCTACTTCACACTTACTCAAAAATGATTTCCTCAACTCTTTGTATTCTGCATACTTCTCTTCTCTTTCCTTCTGGGTTTCTTCCAAAGTTAGCCTGCTCACCTTAAACTTGTGTTCTATTTTAAGAAGATTTTCACTTGCAGTTCTGATGTCATCCTTTAATGAAAAGAAATACTAATTGATAATCTCAGCAGCATTTAATGCATAAATAATTAAACATAACCAGAGGGGAGAAAAAAGCCAGAGAAATAATACTGGAAGTGATCTCAAGAGTTCATCTTAGTCCATCTTTCTCTGCTCTACAGCAGAATCAATTAGACCT